CATTGTGAATGTGCACAGGTGGTGCTCTTAGTGGCTGCAGCTGGCGGAAAATCTTGTCAGGACCCCAAGGGCAGGCCAGTACAGATGCCTGAACACTAACAACCCACAGCCTTTATCTACCCCTTTCTCAATACCCCGTTGAAGGTTTCAGCCCCAATGCACCCCAGCAAGTCTCCTCCCACCCCGTGGCCACTCCCTCGTTCAGGTCTATTTCTTGAAAAACCTCTCAGAGTTGCTTCTCAGTCAGCGCCATGGTTTCTGGGTCAATGTGACTCATCCTGTGAACTGTTAGAAATGCAACCTACAGTTCAACTCCGATTGTGACATTTCAGGGATCAAGAAACTCCCATTTCACAGCTTACTAGGCCCGCCCACATCTCCGGGCCCAGCATTAAGGGTCTTGCAGGTTCTGAGCCAAAGCAAATTCACCACCTCTTTACCCTCACATTCTTCCCCTTCATATCTGCTCCATTTCTCCTGCGTTTGCTGTCTGAGGTAACATGACCTCCTGCGTTTGCTATCTGAGGTAACATGACCTCCTGCGTTTGCTGTCTGAGGTAACATGACCTCCTGTGTTTGCTGTCTGAGGTAACATGACCTCCTGCATCCCTCCAGGTGACAGGAAAACTTCCCTTCTTCCTCGTATTCGATCTTCACACAGGACGTTGCAGTGCTCCAGGCAAAGCTTATAAAACACAACAGACCAACAAAGACTAAGAAAGAATAGTGCAGCCTCTTTCCGGTGTCAAGGAGGAAGGCGGCTGTGGGTGTGGGGGTTTCAGGGTGCCGGAAGTCAGCATCAGCAACTGAGGCCATGCATGCCAGAGTAACAAGACCCCTCCTCAGAGCTGCAGGCGACCCACGTCTGCCACACAGCGAGTACAAACGGTCTTAGGTGGTGCAAGCCTTTATAGAAGCTAAAGACTTGGACCACTGTGAAGAGGAAAGGTCAGGGCAGCCAGCCAAACCCCATGAACTTCTCTTTTGGGTGTTTGTATCATTTGCATACTCCTAATGAATTTACATAGGATTTACATAAGGAGCTACTTGGACTCAGTGTTCTAGTTCATGGAATCTGGAAAATATGCCGATGATGGCCTACAGAAAGGATGCGTGGCCGCCACACAGGGCTCTCACCACTCTGTCACATGCTGAGTCACAGTTCCCGAGTGTGACAGGCACGCAATTGAGTCCCCATAGGTGTCCTTCTTGGCACTCCTGCAGGAGAAGGAACTGCACAGGTCTGGTGCCTGCTTTACACACTGCAGTGAAAAAGAAAGTATGCAGAGTGAAGACTAATTGCCATGCCCTGGCAGTACTGGGGACACGTCTGTGGCCCCGGCGCTCAGGAGGCAGAGGCAGGGGGATCTCTGGGAGTTCAGGCCAGCCTGGTCTACAGTTAGAGTTCCAGGACAGCCAGGGCTACACAGAGAAACCCTGTCTCAATATATACAGGTATATAGAAGATGATAGATGATTGACAGAGAGATAGATGTGTATGTATATGTGTGTGTGATACATGTGATACATATATATTGCATGAAAATATCAACTCAAACTCTCTATATGGCTACACTACATAACAGAGACTTTGGGGGACATCTAGACCAGCCATGTGACCCAAACTGTGTGTATCAGGATCCTCTCCTGGGGAAAGAGGATTGAGCACACATTTAGTTGGCTTTGTGTTTGTGGGCAAAAAAAAAAAAAAAAAACCCCACAGAAATAGAGTAAGAGTTGCTGAGCAGCGTTGTATAACTATAAAGAGCAAAGAGTAGACAGGAAAACAGAAGCCAACACGGCCAGGGAAGAGGGAAGCAAATGAAGGCAGGGACAGGGAACGCTCCAGGCTTTCCTTACCGTTCATAATTGTAATTCCTAATAAGGGCTGTCTGCACTTGGCTCCCAATGGCCTTCCAGTACATTCCTTCCCCCATTCCTTCCTTCCTTTTCACTAAAACTAGTTCAGGTTTATTTCTGTCACTTGAAACAAGTAGTAATCAAAATCTTCCACAGTCAACTGACTCATCGTTGTTCTACATTTTCTACATTCTCTTCAAGGCTTCCGGAAGGAGAAAAAAAAAAAAAACTCAGAAGGTTAAACAACTGGATACACGAACAGGGCAAGGTCCACAGTGAACATTCCACGAGGAGAGTGAATTATGACCAAGAAAAGAGAAGATAAAGGGTGTTCGAGGCAAAGCCATGACAGCCATGCACAGCAATAAGAAATTCTAGTAAAGAGTCCATTGAAGAGTTCCCCGTGCACCTGTCCGCAGGAGCTTTAACTGGGAAGACATCAGACTGGTAGACCGGACCAAGTCTTTAGAGAGGCAGGATTATAAAGCAATGCCTCTATCCAGGGGTTCCATTTGGAAGGTTCCCCCAGGTAACTAACAACAGGCTTTCCAAGGGCAGGAAGTATTGAGTGTACTCCGATATATCTTCCTTGACCCAAATACCGACACCAAGTTATCAGACTGCGCCAGAGGCTTTGGTTTACCTACTGAAGGGCAGGCAGGCATTTATTTCTCAGTGACAAAAACAGCGGCTTGTTCTCAAGGGGGAGAACGCATATACAACTGAATTTTAAGGCGCTCTGGTCAGGCATGTACCTTCTGTCAAGCCAATCCTGAGGGCAGATGGCTCCCCAAAGATGAGGCCACGCCCATCGGCCCCGACTACCTGTAGACCAGTTTAACACGTGTAGCAAGTCCAAGACTGACAGGCAGGCAGATAAGGAATGAAGAGGGTGGCTCTGCAGGGTTGTGCAAACAAAACGAGTAATTTAGGCTCCCGCAGTTAGAAGGCATTTACAGAAAACGCAGCTAAACTTCTAGAATCAAAACAAACCTGCAATGTTACAAATATACATATATATGTATGTATGTATATTAAATATATACAAGATATAATAAATATAAAATACATATGAGAATAAAAATCAAAGGGCTCTAGTTATGATGGAGCTCAAAAGCATGTTTACTAAGATTATTTTCTGATGGTTTAAAAATCTATGCTTACTAAGTGAAAAAAACTACATCAGAAAAACTGATGAATTTTATAATTCTATTTGGGAAATAGATTTTAGCCTTTTTTGGGGGGGCAGGCCTGGAACTTGCTATCTAAACCAGGCTGACCTTGAACTCACAAAAACCTGCCTGCCTGCCTGCCCCTGCCTCTGAGTGCAAAGATGAGGGGTATCCCACCATGCTGGGTGTTAGGCATTCTTACTACTGTAGTGAATGAGCAAGGACTTCTGCCCAAACCTTTGGAACAAGTAACTTTAAAAGTTGAAGACAGTGCTTTGGTTCAAAATCTAAAAGGCACTGTATGCTGATTGATATATATTTTCCAGACATACACATAGGGAACTATTAAAAGCATCCGAAATTTGACTGGCACATCGGGTAGGAACAAATTTTTAAAACTATATGTAAATAGTCCAAATATAAACTCGGTGCTCCTAAACTGGCAGCAGGTCACAGTACAAGTTGATTTTGGTCTTCAGAGTCAGCTCAGCCACAGGCATTAAGTCAACATGTCAGACATCAAAAATAATCAGTCATATATTCCCTTCAGAACAGTCGGTCCCTTATCCAGCCCAGAAGTTTTTTTTAGAAACCCATTGATAAAGTGAGAAGTCAGAATCTGCTGATTCCAAGCACTACTATAAAGCGGCTCCTGGATTACAAATCTATTAAAAGGAGGGCCCCTCCCTTTCTGAAGAACAACATTCATGAACAAACATAAAAGTGCTTCTAAAGTGGGTTTTACAAACCGCACCTTCAGTGCTTTTAACTATCTGCCGTTGGCTCTGAGAAACAACTGTGTAAACTCTATTTCCCTGAGAATCTTTTCTGGGTAAAATTTCACACGTATGATTACCCTTTTTAAATCTACTTTGTCCCTCACGCTGCACAGGGTGAAGTGAACTGCCAGCCAACGTGTGTCCCGGTTAACCAAATCTCATGTTGACAGTCCCATCCATTGATTGTAAAAACAGCGACCATCTAACATCCCCCAAGTTATCCCAGTTTTCAATAACTACAATGTTTTCCCGCGCCAGGCAAAATAAAAGAATCAATCCTTAATTAGTTGACCCCATCCGAATTCAAGAGCCCCTACAACTTCACATTTCCCCTAAAATCCCCCCCTCGCGCTTCAAATAATTGGTTTTTTGACACTCGGGGGAGGGAAAACAAAAACTCCCGAATACTTTCCACATGATCCAAAGCAATTCTTTTAAAACCTCATTGTTCCGCCTTCAGAATTATGGCGCTTATCGCATAACCTACAAAGGCAGGAACAGCACTTCACATTCGGGTAATTTGACTTGAAATAGCCCAGTGGAAAAGTTTTAGTTTGGTTTGATTAAAAAAAAAAAAAAAAAAAAAAAGGCTCAGATGCTTGTTTCCACTTAAAAACTGAACTAAACTGGTACCTGCTCCACTGGGTTTGGGCCTATGAGATGCCAGCTGAGCCCCGGGTGCACCTCCTCTCCCCGGGACGGGGGGGGGGGGGACAGGATGTGGCAAGGGTCGCGGGCTGGTGGCGTCTCCCACGTTCCCACGCCCCCGCCCGTTATCCCGGGCATCCCGGGCCAGGGCTGCAGGGGAGGCCCGAGCGGAGCGGGGCGGGGCGGGGCGCGCCCGGGGTGCAGCCCCACACGCCCCGGGCCACCCCGCGGAGTCACCCTGGGCCCGCTGGGGGGGAGGGGGCAGTGGCTCCCGCGGCTCAGGTCCGCGGCAGGGGACGGGTAAGGTGTCAGCACCGAGGCTGGCGGGGCGCGGGGCTCCAGCCTGACCTGGCTCCGCGCTGTCCCTGGGTGGGTCACATCCCTGGGACCCGCCCCGGCTCTGCGGCCGGGGGATGACGCTGGGGGCGGAGGAGCGGCTCGGGCGCTCCCGGGATGGGGAAGGGGGGTGGGGGTTCGGGTCCCAAGCCTGACTTGGCAGGGTCGCAGGGCCGGATGGGACAGGCGGGGTTGGCGGACTCACCGGGCAGCGTGGTGGCCGCGGCCGTAGCCAGGCAGAGACCGAGGCAGAGCGCGAGAGGGCGCGGGAGGGTCCGCCGCACACTCCGGGGCAGACGAGCAGCCGCCGCTGTCCGCCTCCCTCCTCCCTCCCGGCTCCGGGCGACAGACGGGGCGGCGGGAGGCATGACGGGAAATTCCTGGGCACGGGCGGCCGAGTCCAAATATGAGCATAGGAGCCGAGCGAGGGAGGACCGCGGAGCGCGCCGGCCGCGGACGGGGCCCGCTGCCCGGACCACGGCGGGCGCCAACTCCCGCCTCCTGCGCCGCCTCCGCCGCCCCGACTGCCAGCCCTGCGGGGACCCGGGGGAGCATCCTGGCAGCCTCCACCTGAGACCCCTGCGGGGTCAGGACGCCAGAGAGCCAAGGACCTGTGAAGCCATGTCCGGGTGGTGACGGGATTCACAGTTCTGGCCTGTTCCGACGATTGCAGGGTGCCGGTTAAGGTGTGACATGAGCGCGCCCCTAAGCGTACTGAACACCCATGCGACAGGGAAGCTCAGTCTGCGTCCCAGGGGGGCCCAGCGCCCACTGTGTGTATGCACAGGTGAGAGGGTCCCCTCCACTCCCACTTCGACTGTGTGTGTGTGTTTGGGTGAGACCAGCAAAAGGGCATCCCCTGAACTTTTATTTGAACACCATAAATGGCATGAAATCAGGCTGACTGAGAGTCTCCACACCAACTAAATGCTGGTTTACACCAACCTTTATTCATAATCGTACAGTCACACACACACACACACACACACTTTTGTATTTATTGCAGACTGCCCAAAGTGCAACGTTGAAAGGCATTCAAAAAGGTAATGCCTCTGATGACCAAAATGTCCCAGATGATTAATTCCAGGTCAAACACATGACTACCCGACTTTCCTTTGGCGCTAATTCTACAATTAATCAGATCCAAATGACCCCTCGACTCTCAAGACAATGTAATTATGTCTTACCATAATATATATTTCCCCCAAACAAATTTTTGACAGGATCTGGCAATGTGGAATGTTATACAATTACTTCTCAACATATTAACATGCTGAAGAGGTGTGATTAATTGATGCAAAACACTTAAGGGGTAAATGTCAAACAGATTTAGAGGGTGGATTATTTTAGCATGAACTAAAGAGAGATAATTTGTACATCACACTGAGCTTAAAAGAGGTTTTATTTGAAAGTTAGTAAACGGCATTTCCAAACAAATGCAGTTCTGGCAAAGTATGAAGGCCCATGAGCCAAAACCCCAGTGCATTTGCAACCAGCAGCCCCCAAAACATCTGGCACTAAAAAACATTACGTCCCATGAATTACACCCTCCAGATGAGCAGTTTTCACTTCACATACTAGCAAAGGACAAATGGCCTAAGGAAACTATGAGTGAATTCACTGTAATAAAGCAAAGGAGATCTTTGAAGAACCCTTTTATATTAATATTTGGCTATGTACCCGGAACATGAACAGTTAGAATAGAAGGGGAAACCTGAATATTCCTCTTTCTCTATTCTCTCTCTCTCTGTCTCTTTGCCTCTGTTTCTCTCACACACACACACACACACATACACACACACACATACACATAGACACACACATACACACTCATACACACACATATACACACATACACACGCACATACACACACACATACACACACCATTGAAGCTTGTATTACATAAGCAGCTGATTTTCTCCTGTTTTCACAGCAACAACCAGCACAGTCCTTTCCCCATAATCTAAATGTTTAAAACTAAAAAGAACACAGCCATTTATAAACTGAAGACAGGAACCCTCTGCATAAAGGAAAAAGCATGTTTCAAAGGACTGTGGTGATTGTGGCTCTGCTCAAAATATTTCTGTGCAATGATGGTAAGATGCAAAGACATAAGAAAGCGATGACATTACAGAGCGATTTGTGTTCATTGAGATGAGGAATTAATGATCAGTTTGCAGATTTTACCTACCAAGAGTTACTTTAAAAGCCTGAATTAAGTATGTTGAGGGAGAAAAGACTCAAAGTAATGGGTGTATAGTAAACAACAGATATTAAGCTAGATACTTTATACCTGATGTCTCAATTGAATCCCGCCAAATATCCTTAAACCTAGTATTTCTGTCTGTTCTAAAATTATGTAGACTGAGGCATAGGAACAGAATCTACTCCAGAAGCAGAAATTGTGTTGGAATTCAAGCCCCAATCCACAGTGTCTATACACCTTTTTACCATGCTGGTATGGTCTGTTTTCTCGACATTAAAAACGTGAATAAATAAACGAGGTAGCTTCACAGAGTGCGTTCCTTTGGGGTCTTAAGGTTTTAAGGATCTGGCAGGCACAACGGTTGTCTCAGGAGGTGAAGACTCACATAAAAATTCAACCCGAGGCTTAACTGGGCCTCAGCTCCTTCTAGAGCTTTGATGGCTCAGGGAAAAGGGATGGCACTAAGCATAGACTATGCTGTAAGTGCCATGATTTGATCAAGAATCTCCACAAGGTTTCTAAAAGCCCTGAATTAGGGTTCCTATGGCTGTGAAGAGACGCCATGACCACACAACTCTTATAAACAAAGGAAAAACATTTCATTGGGGTGACTTACATTTTCAGAAGCTGGCGCGAAAGCAGAGGTGGTTCTGGAGAGGGGCTGAGAGTCCCACCACTCCCGCTTGTAGGCAACAGGAAGTGGTCTGTCTCAGTGGGCGTGGCCTGAGCGTATCTGAACCCTCAAAGCCCGCCTCCACAGTGACACACTTCCTCCAAGACCACACCTACTTCAACAAGGCCACGCCTCCTAACAATGGCACTGCCTTCGGGGGCCATTTCCTTCCAAACCACCACTTGACTTTCACCAGACTTCGCAGCGATAGTCTTACCTGTTACCTTGAGCATTGCCGATGTTAAGAAAAAAAGGGATTACTTCCCTGTTTCCTATGCCATCTCTCCCCCGCCCCAATGGCACACTGGCAGACATTTACATCACACCAGGCATGTAGGGGGACCGGGCCAGTTGTATTTTCTAACTCACATACTGTAACTGCTTCTTCTAACCTAATGTGTCTGAGGTCAGACACACACCATCAATGCTCGGGTAATAGAGCCAGGCGTGCCATGCTACAGCTCTAACGCCTCATGCTTTTCAGAATGCAAGAATAATTTGTACAATTGTGGCTCCTTGTCCCTTTATCTGCCTTCCCAGCCCTTGCCCTACAGGGAAAAGTCTGAGTCTTTCACCGTTCTTGCCAGAGTCTATGTCACAAGGAACTGGTCACCTGAGCCAGTCACCATCTGTTAACGTGATATGGTCACATGCTACAGAAGGGTACCGGTAGCTGTGCTGAAGACATAAATAGGAAGTGGATGAGCTTCTAATCCTAGCACACTGGAGAGCTGGAACAGTGCTACAAGTTCAAGGCCAGCCTGGACCATTTTCCAAAAAAAAAAAAGAAAAATGATAAAAAGGCCAAAACCAACCAAACAAACAAATAAACAAAACAAACAACCGAACTCCCTAAACAAGCAAAACACAAGAAAAGTTAGAAGCAGAGTGTAATCTTTTCATGGGGTTGTGCTACAGACAATTCATTCTCAGAGTGTGAGCCTGACAACCGCCCAAGCTATACATGCCTTCTCACCTCCCTAATAAAACCTCCCAGCCACTTCACACGCTTTGAGATGCCCCACCCCCCCATACACAGGCGCCCACAGGAACTGGATGGATGCCAACTTGTCCTACAAGTGAAGAATGGACACATCAGGACTTGCTACTGTTCAGAAGCTCCCAGCCAGAGCAAGAAACCAAGTCAGCACTTAACATTCGATGACCTTTTACCAAATGCCACTGCTTTAAGCCAGTTAGTTATCGGCCAGAGAGGATGAGTAATACTTTGGGGAGGTTGCACCACTCCAGGGGAAGATTTTCCAAGCTCCTCGGATCCCGTGTTCCTGTCTCAGGGAAGAGATTGCACTGGCTCTCACTCCCGGCGAAAAGAGGATTTTACACTGAAGGACGTGCATCCCCTCCTCAGTGCACTGTACCAGGCTTTTGCTTTTGGGCTACCAACCAACTCCCAAATCATGACACAGAGCATTCGTTTTGAATGCTCCTTTCAGGCTAGCTCTTTCAACTTAACCTGTTTGTCTTTATCTACCTTTTGCCTTGGAGCTTATTACCTTTTCTGACTTCTTGTCTGCCTTGGCTGACTCCTGTCTGCCTTCTGGCCCCAGGCATGTCCCTTGTCCGTTCCTCTTCGCTCTTCTCAAATTCCTTCTTCTCTTGAGTCTAGATTTCTCCTTCTCTTTATTCTCTCTCCCCGCTAATCCCGCCCATCCTTTCTCTGCCTAGCTATTGGCTGTTCAGTTTTTTATTAGACCAAACAGGTGCCTTAGACAGGCAAAGTGAAACAGAGGCAACACATCTTTACATAAATGCAGCATAAATAAAAGTAACACACCTTTGCCTAGTTAATATTCCACAACAGGACACTGCAGTGGCAACAGACCTAAGAACCAAGTCAATACTGAACACTATGGTAGACCATTAAATCTTTATTTCAAATCTTCAAAACGAATGCCATGGTTTCTGGCCTCTAGCCACCATATGCTCTGACTGGGAACAGTATGTCACAAAATCCAGGGAATTCCTAACTGGACAGAGACGGCTGGATGAATATGAGCATTTTCCTTCTTTTCTAGATAAAATGGTTTGTCTGTGTCTAGAATAAAATTTTAAATTTATACAGATGAGGCCCTGCTCTCTCTCTCTCTTTCTCTCTCTCTCTCTCTCTCTTTCTCTCTCTCTCTCTCTCTCTCTCTCTCTCTCTCTCTCTCTGTGTGTGTGTGTGTGTGTGTGTGGTGTTAATGCTGGAGCAATTTGAAGTGATTGGCATACTGTCTGATTCTTCCAGCTTTGATTATTTGGATGTACAACAGTAAATAATAAATATTTAGCAAGAGTTTCATATTATAAAGAAATAAGTAATTGTCCCTCAAGCTGCAAAGCTGCTTGGTGTTGGCAGATTCTACAATGGGAAGAGAGATGTGAGAGCAGCTAGCCACCAGTACAAACAGACCATGTAGGTCAACTCTTGGAGATGGTACACACAGGTACTGATGGGAAACGT